AGCTCCGTAAAACTAGTGAAAACAAATGTTTTTATCCCCGGGTTTTCGACGTTATGCGCATGCGCGAGTACAAGCTCTGTCTAAGTAATTGTTTTTCATTTTGAAAGGATGTTTTTTGAAAGTATTTTGCTGTTTTACAGCAATTTTTTGTTTTAAATTTCGTTGAAAAGTTTACAAAAGTACAACACGTTTTTTTTTCCTGATTTTAACTGGAAATGAGCTTGCATTTCATGAATTAGTGGCTGTTCAACCGTGAAACAAGTTTGTATAATAATTGTAGTCTAGGACCTGTATAGATTTTGTATGCATTTCATTTAGCACAGGTAAACTAAACTGTTTTAGGGTAAAATGACCATGGCGGTCAACATGGCATATGTGCCAAAACCTGAATCCGCGGCGAAAGTCCTGAAAATGACCCCGCCCTGAAACGGCAGTGCCGACATAGCTCTAACTTCCGAAAAGCAAAGGCGACAGCCTTTCTTAAGTGCTTATAGTGTTTAGAAGGGTTGCTTTTATGGGTGGTCATTGGAAGGAAAAATTTATCTAAATATAATATTTTACCAGAAAATGACTATGCACCACCCCAGGTAAATTGCTGATTATGCACAAAATAACTAATATGCCTGGCAGAAATTTAATGTTCTTATTTCCTAAAGAAAATTATCATGGGATGAAAAACTATGCTTAATTTAATATGTCATTGTTTTCTTTAAACATAATACATTTTAATTCACTCACCCCCCACGAAAACATCATTTCAGCCATACTTTCCCGTCTTGTTTGCCTTTTATCGCCGAGTCTCGCTGATATCATCGAGTTGTTGTACTTTTACACAATGATAGATGGCTAAAGACGATTTCGACGAAGTTTAATGAAGTTTTGAAACAGCGCAGTATATTTTATCTTCGATATTGTGTCCTTCGATATTTCGTCAAATTGCCGCCATTTTAATGGCTCGCCGCTTCTCTGCCCGATAAATGCCACTTCTTCGTCTTCCTATGTGTTTAGACTACAGAATCCAAGAGTACTTCGTTGTAGAATAGTCCCAATCGAAAAAATGAAAACATTTGTTGGGTTTGATGGCAAAACCCTCCAGGTAATCATTTAGGTTCAAAATAAAATACAAAGCATTTGAAAGTCACGCGCAATCTTCGCGAAAACTTCTCGTGGACACATGACAGGGGGGGGTGAATATTTTCACGAAAACGTTTGTTCGCCACCACAGCAACCAAAAATATATTGTATTTATTGTATTTTTATGAATTATGATAAAACTACCCAAATATTTATTGTTTTTATCATAATTCATAAAAATACAATAAATACAATATATTTTAGGTTTCTATGGTCAGTGTGGTGGCCAACAAACGTTTCGTGAGAATATTCACCCCCCCCCCCGTGTCATGTGTCCACGTGAAGTTTTCGCGAAGATTGCGCGTGACTTTCAAATGCTTTGTATTTTATTTTGAACCTAAATAATCACCAGGAGGGTTTTGCCATCAAAACCCAACAAATGTTTTCATTTTTTCGATTGGGACTATTCTACAACGAAGTACTCTTGGATACTGTAGTCTAAACACATAGGAAGACGAAGAAGTGGCATTTATCGGGCAGAGAAGCGGCGAGCCATTAAAATGGCGGCAATTTGACGAAATATCGAAGGACACAATATCGAAGATAAAATATACTGCACTGTTTCAAAACTTCATTAAACTTCGTCAAAATCGTCTTTAGCCATCTATCATTATGTAAAAGTACAACAACTGGATGATATCAGCGAGACTCGGCGATAAAAAGCAAACAAGACGGCAAAGTATGGCTGAAATGGTGTTTTCGTGGGGGATGAGTGAATTTAAATGTATTATATTTAAAGAAAACAATGACAATCCTTATGAAAACTACAATAATTATATTAAATTAAGCATAGTTTTTCATCCCATGATAATTTTCTTTAGGAAATAAGAACATTAAATTTCTGCCAGGCATATTAGTTATTTTGTGCATAATCAGCAATTTACCTGGGGTGGTGCATAGTCATTTTCTGGTAAAATATTATACTTCGACAAATTTTTCCTTCCAATGACCACCCCTAAAAGCAACCCTTCTAAACACTATAAGTACTTCAGAAAGGCTATCGCTTTTCCTTTTCGGAAGTTAGAGCTATGTCGACACTGCCGTTTCAGGGCGGGGTCATTTTCAGGACTTTCGTCCCGGATTCAGGTTTTGGCACATATGCCATGTTGACCGCCATGGTCATTTTACCCTAAAACAGTTGAGATTACCTGTGCTAAATGAAACGCATACAAACATCTATACAGGTCCTAGACTAAA